AGGCTGACAAACCTCAAAGGGAAGGTTTGTAAACTATATGATTGTCTAACCACTATGCCGTATACCTGAAACTAATACAAAATAATATTGAATGTAAACTGTAATTTAGAAATAAAAAATTTTAAATAATGGATGTGACAGATGGAGAAGAGAGGGAGAAAGGAACAGAGAAACTATTCAAACAATCAACAAGAATTTACCAAATCTATGGAAAAAACTTAACCCTTTTATCCAAGAAGCTAATAGAACACCCAGTTATCTCAATCCAAACAGGCCTTCTGCAAGGTACATTATAGTAAAGCTGTCAAAAATTAACAAAGAAAGACTCCCCAAGGCAGCCAGGAAAAAGAAGATGGTAACCTATAAAGGAAACCCCATGAGATTATCATCAGATTTTTTCAGCAGAAACTCTGCTAACTAGGAGAGAGTGGAATTATACATTCAAAATATTGAAAGAGAAACCACCAACCAAGAAAAATATATCCAGCACATTTATCCTTTAGATCTGAGAAGGAGAAACAAAGACTTTTCCAGACAAACAGAAGCTGAGGGAATTTACCAGAAAACCCACATTGTAAGTAATGCTGAAAGGTGCTCTTCTACCCGAAACGAAAAGACAAAAGGACACAGAATCATGAGTAAGGTGACAGACAGAGGCAGGAAATCGCAACTCTTGCTCATAATAGGGTGTTAAACACTTACATATAACATAAAGGTTAAAGGAGATAAAAGGACTTAAAAAAGAGAAGACAATAGCTACTGCAATTTGGAAATAAATGCACAGCATAAAAAGGGATGATTTGTGACAAAACATAAAATGGGGTAAGACTGACTTACACAGGTAAATGGAGATAAGATGGCCAGTTTGGCTCAGTGGTTAGAGTGTTGGCCTGCGGTCCAGAGAGACCCGGGTTCGGTTCCCACTAAGGGCATGTACCTTGGTTGCAGTTTGTCCCTGGCCCTGGTTGTATTGTGAGGGAGGCAGCCACTCGACGTGTCCCTTTCACATCAATGTTTCTCTCTCTCTTTCTTCCTCTCTCTCCCTCCCACTCTATCTGAACAAAAGATGAAAAATTGTTGAGAGAGGATAAAAAAAAAAGATGCAATCAGAATAAAAAGAACTATTGTACATGTGAAACTTTTAAAAAATAAAACTAATGGTAACCACAAAACTAAAGAGACACATAATATTAAAAAACAAAACAAAAAAACAGGAAATGGAGGGGGAAAATCATAGAATACCACCAAACTAAAATTATAGACAGAAATACAAGGGAAAAGAAACAATGCAGTCATAGAGCTACCAGAAAACAAAAGGCAAAATGGCTATAGGAAATCCTCATACATCAATAATCAACCTAAATGTAAATGGGCTGAACTCACCATTAAAAGGCACAGAGTAGCAGATTGGATAAAAAAACAAAAACTCAATTATATGTCACCTTCAGGAGACCCATCTCACCTGCAGACTAATGTAGACTCAAAGTGAAGCCTTGAAAATTATTCTCCAAGCAAATAGCATCCAGAGAAAAGCAGATGTAGCCTTACTTATATCAGACAAAATAGATTTAAAGATAAAAAAGGTAACAAGAGACAAAGATGGACATTTTATAATGATAAGGGGGATAATACATCAAGAAGACATAACACTTATTAATATATATGCACTCAACCTGAGAGCACCAAAATATATAAAACAATTATTAATAGAACTAAAGGAAGAAACTGACAAAAATACAATTATAGTAGGGAAGCTAAATACCCCATTGACAGCAATGAATACATCATCCAAACAGAAAATCAATAAAGAAATATCAGCCTCCAATGACATATTAGACCAAATGGACATAATCAATATTTACAGAGCTTTCATCCCTGAGCACCAGAATATACATTTTTCTCTAGCGCACATGACGCATTCTCTAGAATAGACCATATTTTGGGGCATAAAACTAGCCTCAACAAATTCAAAAAGACTGAAATCATATTCTCTGACACAGTGCTTTAAAACTGAAAATCAACTGCAAAAAGAAAGCTGGAAAAAACACAAATATGTGGAGATTAAACAACATGCTACTGAACACTACTGAGTCAAAGAAGAAATAAAAGAAGGGATCAAAAGATACATAGAGATCATTGAGAATGACATTATGACATATCAAAGTCTTTGGGATGCAGAAAAAGCAATAATAAAAGGAAAGTTTACAAGTCTACTTCAATAAACAAAACAAAAAATGTTTAAAAAATAACCTAACATTTCACCTTAAAGAACTAGAAAAAGAACAAAGTCCCAAGTCATTAGAAGGAAGAAAATAATAAAAATCAAGAGTAGAATCACCCTGGCCAGTTTGGCTCAGTGGTTGGAGCGTCAGCCTGCGGTCCAGAGAGACCCAGGTTTGGTTCCTGCTAAGGGCGCGTACCTCGGTTGCAGTTTGTCCCCAGTCCTGGTTGGGTCGTGCGGGTGGCAGCCACTCGATGTGTGCCTTTCACATCGATGTTTCCCTCTCTCTCTCTTCCTCTCTCTCCCTCCCACTCTGTCTGAACAAAAAAATGGAAAAATGTCCTCAGATGAGGATTAAATAAATAAATAAATAAATAAAAATAAATAAATAAAACCAACAAAGAAAAAAAATTTTAAAAAAACAAAAAACAAGAATCATAGGATTTCCTCATGTGGGATATAAATCAGAAAGTAACAAACAAAACAAACTCAGACACAAACAACAGTATGAAAGTTATCAGAGAGGGAGAAGGAAGAGGGTAAAGGGGTTCAAATACATAGGGCGGGGCAAAAGTAGGTTTACATTTGTTCATATGGAAAATAATACACAAATTTATAAAGAATGATACAAGAATAAACCGTTTGACGTACTCACAATTTTAAACCTACTTTTGCCCCACCCTGTATGGTGATGGAGACTGGACTCTGAGTGATGAGCACACAATGTATTTAGAGATGAATATTATAGAATTGTACACTTGAGACTTACATACTGCTTTTAATCAATGTCACCCCAATACATTTAATTTTAAAAGAAGGCCCATTTTTCCTGCGGTCCGGAGAGACCCGGGTTCGGTTCCCGCTAAGGGCACGTACCTCGGTTGCAGTTTGTCCCCAGCCCTGGTCGGTTGTGCGGGTGGCAGCCACTCGATGTGTCCCTTTAACGTCGATGTTTCCCTCTCTCTCTCTCTCTGTTCCTCTCTGTCCCTCCCACTCTACCTGAACAAAAAATGGAAAAATGTCCTCGGGTGAGGATTAAAAAACAAACAAACAAACAAAAAAACAAAGGGACAATTCCTTAAAAAAAAAAAAAATAATAATAATAATAAAATAAAAGAAGGCCCATTTTTTAATTGGGTTCTTTGTCTTCCTTTTGTTGAGTTGTATGAGCACTCTATAGATATTGGAAATTAACCCCTTATCTGATATATCATTGCAATTATGCTGTTCAGGAGATTGTCATTCTGTACCCCACTTCCACGTCTCTGGGACTACCCCATTCCTCGGACTGTTTTGTTCGTTATATTCCACAAATAAGTGAAATCATGTGATATTTGGCTTTCTCTGCTTTCTCTGTCTTTGTCTATCCTAAGCTTGTTTTGCTTAGGAAAGTACTTTCCAGGTCCCTCCATGTCGTCTCAAAGGATGAGATCTTTCTTTCTTACAGCTGCATAGTACTCCATTGTGTATATGTACCACTGCTTTTTTATCCGTCTACTGATGGACATTTGGGCTGTTTCCAGATCTTAGCTATTGTAAATAGTGCTGCTACAAACATGGGGGTACATATATTCTGATTGGTGTTTCAGACTTCTTAGGGTATATTCCTAGAAGTAGAATCACTGGGTCAAATGGAAGTTCAATTTTTAATTTTTTGAGGTAACACCATATTGTTTTCCATAGTGGCTGCACCAGTCTGCATTCCCACCAGCAGTGTACTAGAGTCCCCTTTTCGCCACACCCTTGCCAACACGTGTTGATGATTTGTTGATGGCGGCCATTCTGACAGGTGTGAGGTGATACCTCATTGTTGTTTTAATTTGCATCTCTCTGATGATTAGTGATGTTGAGCATTTCTTCATATGTCTCTTAGCCATTTGTATGTCCTGTTTGGAGAGGTGTCTATTTAGTTCCTCTGCCCATTTTTTAATTGGGTTCTTTGTCTTCCTTTTGTTGAGTTGTATGAGCACTCTATATATATTGGAAATTAACCCCTTATCTGATATATCATTGGCAATTATGCTCTCCCATACAGTGGGTTGCCTTTCCATTTTGATGATTGTATCTTTGGCTGTGCAGAAGCTTTTGATAGAGCTTATTTTTCTGTTGGGGAACTCCGAGAGCCATGTACAACACACACTTCCAAGTTATCCCAATAGAGAGTTGAGGGACCTGAGTATTTATTTATTTATTTATTTCATCCTCACTCTAGGATTTTCCACCATTTTTGTTCAGATAAGAGTGGGAGGGAGAGAGAGAGAAACATCAATGTGAGAGGGACACATCGAGTGGCTGCCTCCCACACAACCCGACCAGGGCTGGGAACGAATTGCAACTGTGGTACGTGCTTTTGACTGGAATCGAACTCACAACTCATTGGTCCGTGGGCCAACACTCTAACCTCCAAGCCAAACTGGCCAGGGCGGAACCTGGAGTATTTATACACCATCTCCTATCCATCACTGGTTGAGGGCTGCTAGAGTGGGAAGTTGCATGAACTCCCTGGCATTGAAGGCTTGCCATGTTCATATCTGGAGCAGAGCGGGCACCAGTGGTCTGAGGATGCCCACAGGCACAGCTTCATGTGCTGGTACCGGCAGTAAAACCACCACGTGTTGATAGGGGAAGGGTGACAAGATACAGACTCGGCACCCACAGTATCTGTGACATGCTCCCTCCCAGGCACATTCATCCAAACACTACTTGTCAGCCAGGCACCACAGCCACTCCCCCACACCAGGGCCTCCAGAGATTAGATGACAACAGTTCTAGTCTGAATTAAGTTTAATAAGGAATTTCAGGGAGGGAGTCACTGGAAATGCAGATGTCTGGGACAGGGGCCTGGTTAGTTCTGAATTAGAAAGCAGTAGAACCTAGGGGATTCTAACCTAGCAGAGTCCTTCCTATGTCAGGGTTAAGGACCTAAAGAAGTTGGGGGGTTCATCTTAATTCTACTGGGATGATACCAGGAGCTGTTTTGGGATGCCCCAAGTACCATGTAGGGGAATTCCATCTCAGTTTCCAAGTGTGAAGAGCTAAGTGGGGAAAGGGTTAGGGGGAGTCCAGGGTGTTTCACAGAAACAATCAAGGGGCCTCGATTTCACAAAAATCATTAAGGGGGCTCCTTGTGAGTGGGGGAGGAATAGCATACCACCCCAAATATTGGGGACTGTTTACCCACCCCCCCAAGCAGCCACTTTGAGGTTTTAATGTAAGACCCCAATGGCAGGACATTCCACATACATTATCATGGATTTGCAACATTGGCATACGCTGACTGTCCCACAGGACGGTGGGGACTGGAAAAATCAGTCCAGGTTCTGGGTTGAGTCCTAAGAGGACAGGCCTGAGGGTGCCACACGGCTCCTCTTCAGTAGCTGCCGGAGCTGTGAACGAGACAAAGCAAGGCGATGATCTGGAGGTTGCATGAAGAGGTGGTGGAGGCACAGCTGGTGAAGTTGGAGGTTAAAGAAAAGTGGAGTGGGGTCGGTTGGGTTTGAAGATTACAGGCTGAGAGTCAAGATTTGGAGTTGGAGGTGAAGGTCTGGGTTCACATAGAGAAAAAGCTCAGGAGCCAGAACTGGGGATGAAGGGAAAGCTGTTGGGAGTTCCCACCTTTGGGTTCGCATTACAGACTGGCAGTCTCCATGGTAGAGACATGGGATTAGAGGTCCCATTTGGGGGTCAGAAGTCCCACTCTGAAGTCAAGTCTCAGGGTTAGGGGCAAGAGATTAGAGGTCATACTTGGGGATCAAAGGTCATACCCTCAGGATTTAGGGTTGAAAGCAGAGGTCATACTTTGAAGTCAGGGTTGAAGTAGAAGGTTAGGAGGAGTTATCATTACAAGGCAAGGGATCAAATACTGGGGTAAGAGGTCACATTTGAAGTCAGGGTTGAATAGGGGTCAAGATCACCTTCTGAGATTACAAGTAACCCTCTAAAGTCAGGAATGTGCAGGGTCAGGGATTCACCCAGCTAGGTCAGAGATCACTCTGTAGTCAGGATGGGTTCAGTGCTTACCCCCTCAGGGCCCGGCCCAGGCCGCAGCAGGTGGACAGGCTGCTCGTTCTCCAGGTTGCGCAGTGTTGGATCTGCCCCAGCTGCCAGCAGGCTCCGCACTATGGCCTCCTGGGGTGGCCCAGGGGGCAGGGCAGCTGCCATGTGGAGGGCTGTGTTCCCATGGGCCTGGGGACAGTGCAGGAAGGGCTAATAAGGTTTCAGTTTCAGCTGGCCCAAGCCCTCAATACCACACTTCACATTCTGCCACATCCACGGTGCATATTTCTCCGTTCACATCCACATCCCACACACCCCTGTCCATGTCCTACACATCACCTCTGTCTATGGCCACATCCTGTATGGTCCCCATCCAGGTCCCATACAATGTCCCCTCCGTGGTCACAGCCCATAGGACTCCCAACATCCCACTGCCCTCTCTGCCATCTTTCTCAATCTCCACACTCTAGCCCAGGGCCCCACCTTCATGTTGACAAAGGCCCGCAGGTCCCCCTGTGGCAGCTCCAGCAGCAGCTGAACCAGGGTGGGGTTGGCGGCCTGCACAGCCAAATGCAGAACAGTCTTGTTGCTCTTGATTTCCTGTGGGAGGGGGACGGCAGAGGTCAGGCCAGTCCTCACACTCAGGACCCTGCCAAGGAGCCCGAGAGCAGGTAGAGATCCTGCCTCTCCTTTGTAAGCCCCCAAGGGTGCCTTCTACAGCTGTATGGACTGTGCGCTATACCATAACACCACGTTTGAGGGGGTGCCATTCGCATCATACAAATCACAGAACTTTACATTTATTAAGATAATTTTCCAGCCCAAGTGTCTGAGAAAAAGGCTCTTTTCCTAATCCTCCAAGGTACTCTCTGGGCTAGCAGCTGCCCCGACCACCCTATCCTCTGTTATGCACAGTAAAAGTACCCACATCCCACATGGACTGTACTTGATCTACTACAAGGATGAGAGCTGAGCAACTTTAATCAGTGAACTAAACTAAGCTTATATCCATTTCCATTTTAAGCAGTTCTCTTCCTATTTTGGAGCACATCAAGCCATTTTCCACCATGAAACTTTAATATGTGCCTTTAAAGAGTTTGTAATGATAATAAATATTTTAAATGTTAGGTGTTTATACAGGCACAACAACCAAGTTGGCTCATCAAATAAGTTATGAAGAGAAAACAGAGGTGGAATGGGAAACTCTAGATTAAGACTTAAACATCATTGCACCCCGGCTGGGGTGGCTCAGTTGGCTGAGAGTCATCTTGCACAACAAATGGTTGCCAGCTTGATTCCTGGTCAGGGCACATGCCCAAGTTGCTATTTGGTCCCGGTTGGGTGGAGAAAACTGATCGGTTTTTCTCATACATCGATGTTTCTCTCTCTCTCCCCCTTCCTCTCTCTCTAAAATCAATTTTAAACCCAGCCGGTGTGGGTCAGTGGTTAAGCATCTATGCATGGGTCAAGAGGTCACTGGTTCGACTCCCGGTCAGGGCACATGCTTGGGGTGTGGGGGTCGATCCCCAGTGGGGGGCATGCAAGAGGCCGCCAATCAATGTGTCTCTCTCATTGATGTTTCTATCTCTCTTATCACTCTCCCTTCCTCTCTCTCTAAAAATCAATATATTTTTTAAACAACTTTTTTTCTTTATTTATTTTATTTATTTATTTGCATTTATCTTCAGACAGAGCGGGAGGGAGAGAGAGAGGAAGAGAAACATCAATGTGAGAGAGACACATCGACTGGCTGCCACCCACACAACCCCAACCGGGGCCGGGGACAAACTGCAACCGAGGTACGTGCCCTTAGTGGGAACCGAATCTGGGTCTCTGCAGTCCAGCAGGCCGACGCTCTAACCGCTGAGCCAAACCGGCCAGTGCAAGAGTTCTTTTAAAGACGCACAAATATTTATAGATAAACTTATATGTTTAGACTTGCTTAAAAATAATATAGCTAAATGGAGGAATGGAGTGGGGCAGGACCGGCTATGCGTTGCTTGTTACTGATGTTTGTTTGGTACGTGGAGTTCATTATACTATTTTTTATACTTTTATCTTTGTTAAATTCTTTAACTTAAAATAAAAAAAAAACATAGTGTGTGGATGTTTAATTCTCTCAGCTGGCTTGTAAAGGAAGGAGGATAATATCATTGTTAAGAGCTGAATTCTGGGACCAGACTACATGGGTTTTATCTCCTCTCTGACACTCACAAACTATAATATTTTTGACACCTTGTGCTTCAGTCTCCTTATCAGTAAAACAGAAAAATAACAGCACGTGCATCAAAGGGTGTTTGTGAGAATTCAACATTCTATGAAACTCAGTGCTTGATAAATATAAGCTAAGATCAGTAATATTATTTCCAGTTGACAACTGGGGCACAGAGAAGTGAAGCAATGTGCTCCAAGACACATAGCTGGGAAGAGGCAGAGTTATCCAGGTGCCCCATCCCACAAGCCCTTTTAGGGGCTGGCTGCCCATAGCCCAGCTCACCTGGCTGGTATGATCAGCACCCATGTGTAGCAACATCTGGACACAAGACAGCCTGTCTCGGGCCTGAGTACTCAGCACCCGGGGCCAGAGGTCAGGTGGAAACATGGCAACATTGAGGGCCAAGATGGCTGTGTGGAGGGGGGTGAGGCCTGCGGAATGGAGACAGTGAGAACTCTGCATCTGGAGCACCCACCCTGCCCAGCCCCACCTGCCACACCAGCCCTGTCCACGACCCAACTTACCCTCAAAGTCTCTGGCTTCTAAGTCAACTCGAACCCCTGAGTTAATCACAGCCTGGGAAGAGAAGGCAGAATGCTGGATTAGGGTCTCCCTAGGCCTCCCAGTTCTGGAAGCCAGAATCTGGGCAATCAGTGCACCCCACCTGCCACAGCCATACCGAGAGGACTCCAGGGAGCCCATAGGTAGCAGCCACATGCAAGATAGAACGTCCCTGATGATCAGTAGCATTGGGCTCCGCTCCCAGGTTCAGTAGATCCTCCACAATTAGGGGCTGGTTGGCAGCAGCAGCCACCAGAAGAGGGGTCTGTAGGTGAAAGGAAAAGTCAATCTGGGCCCTAAGCCCCCTCCCCCTCTGAAAACCAGGAATCCAGGACCCCAGACCCTCTGCCCTCAGATTCAGGAATCCAAGCCCCGGGCCCTCACCTTGCCCTTATGCTCACGAACATCCAGATATCTGTACATTTGGAACACCTCAGCTGCAGCGTATGCTGCCCAACGCAGCCCCCGAGCCGCCAACAGGTGCAGGAGCCTGAGGACAGGTGGGGACAACAGTGAGGACAGACCCCCCAGCTGGGCCAGGACCCCAATGACTCCATTCCCTTATACTCACGTGTCTCCCTCCTCATCCTGGGCCAGTAGCTGCTGTGGCCCCAAGGCTACCATATGAGCACGGGCTGTGTCCAGGGATGGTCCAGTGACCACAGGAGGCATCTGTGGGGGTCCTGAGGTAAGTCCAGACCCTTTCCAAGATCCCACCTGTGGCAGGGAAGGTTCTGGATAAAGGTGGGTATCCAGGGGGTCCTAAAGGGTATAGGTGGTGAGGAGAGCCAATCAGCTGAGGATTCCCTCTTCCCAACCCAATCCACCACACACACATACACACACGGAGCAGTAATATTATTAACCACGTAGAGTGGCTACGTGTCCCATCTGTGCCAGGTAAACTTGGACCTTTGGGCCTTAATTTTGCCCATCTGAGGAATGGGATCTTAACCCAGCCCCAGACAACTCAGAATGCTGCAAGAAGGCAACTGGGAATTTGGGGGGCCCTTCAGCATTATGTTCCCACTCTGTATCTCACCTCCATTCCCATGGGAAATGGATATGGCTGCCCTGGGTCCGAGGGTGGGCAGAAGTCAGAAGTCAGGAAACTTTCAGCAGCAGAAGTAGGATAAGAGTAGAAGCTGTCTGTGTAGGCACCATGCGTGTTGGGGTTCCAATCTGGAAAGCCTGTGGCAGGGGCCAGATTGCCCAGTCCAGAACCCACAGTCTCCTGGTGGGCTGGGAAGTGAGTATGGCCTGCATGTGAAAGGAGCAGTAGGGACAGGCCTGGTTACCAGAGTCAGGGAAGTTACAGCCAAGGCTGGAGGACCTGTGCGAGGGCCTGGAGTCTCCCAAGGTACTGAAAGCTAGTACTTCCAGGACCTAGAATTCTGGAACACCAAGGGGATGGAAGGTTGGACTTCTAGGACCTGACTCCTAGGATGCTGAGGGGTTGAGGGCCTAGACTCCCAGAGCACCAAAAGGCTGGGAGCCTGGGCCTCTGGGACACCAAAGGACTGTGTTCATCGACTACCAGGCTACAAAAACCTCTGGAAGATCAAACTTCCACCGAGTCCTGGCAAGAATCAGGGCCTGACTCCTAAGTTTCCCAAAGTTCTAAGAGTTGGGATGTGAGGCCCTGAGGGAAGCTGGGGCTGGGAACCGAAGGAACCAGGTGAGCTTCCAGACTTACCAACCTCAGCCTGGTTCACAGATGGGGTCAGGGGCTGGGCCAGGAGAGGTGGGAACTGTCCCTGTAGAGACATAGGAAAAAGGAACACGGTTGAATTTATCTGGAGATTCTTCAGCATCCATGTCCCAGCTATAGGGCATCTAAGTCTACATCTCGCATCATCCCTGAGGACGCAGCAGACCCAACAGGACATGTCCTCCTGAGAGCTGCAGTGGACAGGGTTTCATGGGCCTCACCGGTGCCCCACCAGCGTCAGGCTGTTGCTGGCCAGGCTGTTGCTGGCGGCGTCTCTGTTCTTCCAGGAGCTTTTTCACTGTCTGGGATGGGCAGTGGTTGCGTTCATTCCGGCTCACTGCAGGGGTGGGGAGGGGTGGAGATGGAGGAGAGAAGTAATCAGGACCCAAGCTGGGGGTGGGGGTGGGGATCTGGGCGCCCTCCTCACCCTCCCGCGCGGAAAAACTGGCACATTGAAGCCGCCTGAGAACTCCAAAGCCAATCTCAGGTTTCGGGTGCTGCGCCCGCCTCCGCCGTTTCCTTCCTTTTGCTCCGCACTTTCCCCTCTGGGCCAACTTTCCACCAGCGTCGTGGAAACTGAGGACGGGGGAGGAGGGTGCCCCTCTGCGCATCCCCCCACGACTTCCGTGAAAAATCCCACCCTCCAGCCCTCCCGGTCCTGAGGCCTCGGGGGATGTCTGGCTTCACATCCTGGCCTCGCACATCCATCCAGGTTCCCACCCTCTCTCTCCCCAAAAAGCTGCCCTGATACTCTTTCCTTGGGAAACCAGGCATCCCCAGTGCCTTTCCCGGGGTAACCACGAGTCAATCGCCCACACGCTCCTCAGAGATCCAGGGGTCCAGACCCCATCCCGCAGGAGCCCAGGAGCCTAGCAGCCCCCACCCTAAGACCCGGGAGACCCGGGAGTCCGGACCTTCACCCTCCTCCTCTCTAGGACCTGGTAGTCCCAGTTTCCAAACGCCCTCGAAGGCACGACCCAGTAGGTCCGCACTCTCACCCCTCACCCCTCCGAGTTCCGGCCGAGGAAGGGTTAAGGGGAAGAGGGCGGACAAGAAAGCGCCCGAGCGCCGCGCTGACGTCATGGCGCACACGCAAGGGAATCTTCCATCCCCGCCCCCCGCGCCCCTCCCCCGCGCCCAGGTGTCCGGCTCGGAGGCGGGGCGCGCGGCCAAGCGTGGCGCTCGCGGAATCCCCGCACCGGGGAATTCCTGCTCGGCCCCCGGGCGGTGGACGGGTGGCGCCTCGGGAAGTCCTGGGACGGGGGCAGTCACTGCCAGCGGGGACCTGTGGCCAGGCGCCCGACCTCTCCCGCGGAGACCGCGGCTGATTTTAAACAACCACGCCCTCAAGGGCTCAATGCGCCCCGCTTTCTAGGGGAAGGACTCCGGGTCGCCAGCGCCTTCCTCCCACAGGACCCAGGGGTCCGGGCTCCCGACCCTTTCACCCCCGGAGCCAGGATTTCGATACCAGTCCCCTAACCCCAGGACGCAGGAGTCCAGAATCACAGCCGCTCCTCCAAAACGACCCCGGAATCCGAGCCCTGTCTCCCCCACAAACACTGGGGACCCTCAGTCTCAGGACCCAGGGCCTCAAGAGCCTGACCCCCAGCCCCTCACCCCTCCGGGACCGAGCAGGCCTCACCACCGCTCCTCCTTTACCTCGGGGATTCCGTTGCGTGGACTGCGGGCCCCCAGGGCCCCGGCCTCGGCGCTGCTCCAGTCTCGCTGTTACCCCGCGGAGCCGCCGCCGGGTCCCCGATCTTGGGTCCCGCAAGCCGCGAGATTTTAAACTGGGGCCTGGCCCCGCCCGCGCGGGGTAGAGCCCCGCCCACAGCGCGGGAGTCCCCAAGTCGCGCTCTAGCAAACCCAGGCTCGGAAGGGGCTGGACCCACTTGGGCGCCCGACTCCACTGTGTAGACGGAGAGCTGGGGGTCTCCCCACCTTTGGTCTGAGAAAAAAGGGCCTGGGATACTGGACTCCTGAAGGAGGAAGGCAGTGGGGGCCAGAACTTCTGGGGCCAAGGTACTGGAGACCTCGACTCCTGGGCTCTGGGCTGGGAGTGGGGGCAATATTGTTGGGTCCTGGGGAGGAGGGGCCTGGGGGTTCGAACTTTCTAGTCTCCAGGGAGGAAAGGTCTGTAGGTAAGAGTGATAAAAGTAGACTCAAATTTCTCCCTTTTCTCCACATCACCTCTTTTTTCAGAGGTCAGTTCTCATTTGTTGATTCATGTAAAATAATGTATTACTGCAGGAGAAGCACTTTACTGGGTGCTGGGTTATAGCTGTGAACTAAGCAGGCAGGAATTCCCACCCTCAAGCTGACTGACGTTCCAGGGAGAGGCTGGCCTCAGTTTCCCGTCTGGGTGACTGTCCACAGCACTGACAACTATTTTCCCCCTGCTTTTAAAAATCCATGCTCTCTTGGTTCTTTCTTCATTTGCTGCTCCTTCTATATTTCCGCGGCTGTTTCTTCCTTTTCACCCATTTTTTTGGGGGGGGAGGGGGCGTGTTCTCCATCTGTACTTACTTCCTTGGTGATTTTATCCTGTCTGGTGATTTTAAAAGCCATCAACCCCCAAATTTACATCTCCAGATGAGACTTAACCCCGACCTCATAGAGGCAGCTGTGGTCATTCAACTTCTCCACATGGAGCTCTCTCAGGCATTTCCAACTCTGTGGGCCCAAACCTTCTCCCCACTTCCCTGCCCCCAAATCTGTTTCCCCTTCTCCATTCTGTCAAAGGATGCTCCATCTTTTCAGTTGCTTAGGCCATAGCTTTGGTCATCTTGGATCCTTCCCTCTCATACATACCCTTATCTACTCCATCAACAAGTTTTGTTGGCTCTACCTCCGAAATCTTTGCAGAATCTCCCCAGTGCCCACACCCCGGTCCACCTGTTACCTGCCACCTGGACAAGCCACTCTTTTGGAGACAGTTTGTCCCCAAAGTTAGTCACAGAGACCCACCACCCTCCCCTCCACACACACAGGAAACAGTTAGCCTTACCACCTGCAGAGTAACATCCGCTTTTGCTACATCTCTACTCCCAGACTCTTCCTCAGAACCTCTCTGGACCAAAGCCCTTTGCCGGACCTCTTCCAGCCCCCAGACTACCATGATCCCTCCAGGCAACATCCTGCTCCTACTTTTACTCCCAGGTGAAGCCAGCAGTTATGCGGGGGGGTGGGGGTGGGGGGGTGGCAGATAGAGTATTTTTGAAAAGGGTGACTTGGGTGGCAACTGAAGGGAGGAGTGCTGAGGGCAGATCTTCTCCTAGTGTTCCTTCCCTCCTCTCTCCCCTGCCCGCTTCTCCGCTCTCCTCCCTTTCCCTTCCCTTCCTTCCTGGAGATCCATTTGGCTTTAGAGCCTGGTTCTTTGGGGAAGGAAGCTGGGTTCTGAAGTGCCTACCTAATAATCTCCACTTCTCTCTCACTGCTGGGTCTCTGCTGCTTCTGATTTCCTGTGTCTCTCTGCTCCTCTGGGAGGTCCCCTCCCATCTGGCCCCTCTTTCTCATTTGATCTTTTGGAGTATTTACTTCTCAGGACATCACCTTTCCCTGCACTCTATTTTGGGAACCACCTCTCCCTACTGATTACCTTCCCTCTCTTTCCACAGTGGCTACAGCTCAGATAACCCCAGGTGAGAAATCAACACTCCTTCCCCTCTGTCATGCTACTTCAGGTACTGTTTCCATCTCTAGAGTATAGCTTGAGACCCTGGAATACCCCCAGCGGCTCCAGGTCACCATTTCACTTCTCATCCCAAATCGGAGCCCCAGAGGCTCTTCAGCCCTCTCCAGATCCCCATCTCACTGCCCTCTTCACCAAACTGAAGCCCCAGGGACTTGGCCAACACCCATCCTCTCTTTAGGATTACTCACTATGGCCAAAGCACAAATGTCTCACTATGTTGGGATACCCCAGACTCTCTCGAGATCTCCATCTCCCTTTTCATCCTCCAACTGCAACTCCCTGGGAATTTGGGTCACCCCTAAGGGACTTCCTCTGTCCATATGCCCAAAGCACAGCCCTGAAAGCCTGGGACGCCCCCTCAGCCGACTTCTTGTTTTGCCACCCCCACCCCAGGTTCCTGTTCCGGATGTGGGCCCCTCCCGGTGCCACTCCTGGCAGGCCTTGTGGTGGCTGATGCTGTGGTGTCTCTGCTAATCGTGGTAACGGTGTTTGTGTGTGCCAGCTCACGTGACAGGGCCACCCAAGGTGAGGGCAGGGACAGGGCAGGGCCTGGAGTGGGGGTGATGTCCCTAGGGAAGAGGTCCCCGTGGAGGGGGCCCCCTGGGGAAGCCCTGGAGGTGCTTCTGGGGAAGCCCTGGGGGTACTGCTAGGGGAACCCCTGAGGAAACCCCTGAAGTAGGGGGTCCCCAGAGAAGTGGACCTGTGGGTGGATGGTGGGTGGTCAGGCTTCATGCTTTCTCTCCTTCACCCTCAGAAGATGGCAAGGTCTACATCAACATGCCTGGCAGGGGCTGACCTCTGTAACTGGGACCTTTCACTCCCGACCCTCTCCTCCTGGATTGTGTATAGTGGCACAGGAAGCCCACTCCCCATCTGGTTTGGAATAAAGCAGCTGAAATACCTCTACTTCTAGTTCTTCCTCAAAGGACCCAGAGTCCCCAAAGCCTCCCTCCCAGTTAGCTGTTTCTTGGTCCATGACCCACCTCCCAGAACCCCATATATCCCCGTCCCCTCAGCCCAGGGATCTGGAATAATTCAACGGTGTTTTGTGCTCCATGTTTATTTGGGGACAGGGGTAGGGGAAAGTCTGATAACTCAGAGAGGACACTCTGTAGATCTGTATCTTGGTGGGAGTCAGGATAGGGTGCTGGGTAAGCATCAGGAATGGCTGGATCCAGGCATCAGGTTGCTGACCTCCATGGCTTGAGCTCATTTGTAGTACTGCCTCTGTGTGTTGAGGTCACTGTAGACATCTGACCTCTGACCTTGGAGCTCCTAAAGGGATGGACAGGGTGGGGACCATCAGTGGAAGGGGTCCACCCAGTAAACTTAAAACAAAATCGAACCTTCTCCTAGTGGCCTGCAAGGCCCTGGAAGCTTCTTCTACCTTATAGCCATGTTAGACATCTCGATTTTATTCAGGCACCTTCAGAGTTCCCCTTTTCCTTCTGCTGCATCACTGTGCCCCAGCCCCAGAGCCTTTGCACATACTGTTCTCTCCGCTTGGAACACCAGTCCTCTGATTATTCCCATGGATGGTGTCATCTCCCCCTTTAAGTCTTAGCTCATGTCACTTCCTCAGGAAGGCATTTCTTGATTTCCCCATTTGTAGTTTCCCCCCACCACACCCCAGTCACTGTCACATCAGCCTGCTCTGTTCTTTCATGATGCCTTCCAAACTGATCTTTTTTTTTTTTTTTTCTTTTTTAATCCTCACCCGAGCACATTTTTTCATTTTTTGTTCAGATAGAGTGGGAGGGAGAGAGAGAGAGAACATCAACGTGAAAGGGACACATCAAGTGGTTCCCACCCGCACGACCCAACCAGGGCCGGAGACAAACTGCAACCGAGGTACGTGCCCTTAGCGGGAACCGAACCCGGGGTCTCCCTGGACCACAGGCCGATGCTCTAACCGCTGAGCCAAACCGGCCAGGGCCCAAACCGATCTTATTTGTTCATTTGCTTTAAGTCTGTTTCCCCAGTGAGGACGTAAGCTCTACTGCTGAGCCCTCAGTATGTAGTACGTATAGGTGCTCAACAAGTAAACTGGAGCAATTCTCTGCCCTAACATTTCTCTGCCCCCAGGAACTGGAAAGCCCTTTCAGTCTTCTGGACTCACAGAGCTAGGCTCGAGATTCTCACACTTTACAGAGAGACTTTTTATCACAAGTGAGGCAAAGCAAAGCTGGTTGTGGACAAGTAAAACTGATTTCACAGGGCTCACAGTTGCAGAGGAAGGGTCTATGGCCCCAAAAGGCAGGCGTCACACAGAACCCCTGAAATCACATGTGCACATCTTTTGGGGAGGGGTCTGTTTGGCTTCCGTTAGATTCACAGAGCTCATGACCCCCAAAGGGTTAAGAACAATGTTGACAGAGGCAGGAGATGGAAAGATGCCTCTATCTCTATCGTGGTTCTTAAGGACGGTTCAAGGATATTTGCACCACTCCTAGATTATAACCATAATATTGTACTTTTCGTGTGGATTTTTCTGAGGAGTCTCTAGCTTTCATCAACTTTTCAAAGGGATGCAAGTATTTTTTATCTTCACCCGAGGACATTTTTTCCATTTTTTGTTCAGATAGAGTGGGAGGGAGAGAGAGAGAGAGAAACATCGATGTGAAAGGGACACATCGAGTGGTTGCCACCCACACGACCCATCCAGGGCCGGGGACAAACTGCAACCGAGGTACGTGCCCTTAGCGGGAACTGAACCCGGGTCTCTCCGGACCGCAGGCCGACGCTCTAACCGCTGAGCCAAACCGGCCAGGTCTCTCTCCACGCATTTTAAGCTGAGCGTAAGGTCATGATTGATGAATGAAACTCATTTTGAACAGATGCCCCATTGGTCTTCAAGGGTTTGAGGAGCTGCTGTGAGAAAGTGACTTTAAGGTCTAGGTTCTAGAGGGACGTGGGTTGGGGCACAGAGATAGGGCAGGAGTGAGATAGAGGAGGAGAAGCAGCTGGGTTCCTCACCTGATAAGGCGACTCTGTCTCATTGATGTGCTGTTTTCGGGTCACTGCTGAGGGTGGCACAGGGTGCAGGGGCAGACAAGGTGGTAAATTGGGATTATTTGGTTGATGCAAAACCAGCCTCTCCGTCACCAACCCATTCGATGACTGTGACTTGAGAGCTTACCCCTCCCCTCCAGGCAGGTCCTCAGAGTATCCCATCCCCTTCCAGCCCCACTCACCGTCCACAACCCCTCGCCTCCGGGGTACCAGCCTTCCCAGAGAGTACACAGCCAGGGCGATGAGGAGGGTGAGCACCAGGTCCCCCAGCACAATACCCGCCAGCACCCCAGAATTCACCGCAGGGCAGCTGCATTCTGGGAATGTACACAGCACAGGAGTCAGGGGAGGTCAGTAGGAGTTGGGAATCGGGCAGAGGTGTCGGAGGGGCAGGTTTGGGAAGAAACGGGGAGGGAAGAAATGGGGAGGTCTTTCGCAAGTAGGGAGGGGCATTTCAGGGTCTAGGCCTACCGCTCTGAGACTGGACAGGACTGAGACCTGAAGAGAGAAAAAGAGGGTAAACTGGGGTGTGGAGCTATGACGAGGGTGGGTCCCGACGGCCCGGGGGCAAGGGTGGAGAGCAATCTCTGGTAGGACCTGTGGTCGGCATAAAGGCCACTGGACTGTGCTAGTTCCACACCGACTAGCCCTGTTACGACACCCTTTGAGATCCTTTCCTCTGTTTCAACCAGAGGCCAAATAGCAGGGTTTCGGGTTCTGGGAGCGACCCATAGGCCTTGGGGGGCTGGGCACTTGCTCCTGTCCCAACCTTCCCCTTTGGTTCTCTCTTTCCACCCTGCTCCCTGCCTTGCCCCAAGGTGAGCCCAGGGACTCAGGGGGCAGCGGCAGAAGCCCCCAACTCACCACCCAGAGTCAGAAGGAGAGGCAGGAGCAGAAGCCTGTTGGAGGGTCCAAGGCCCCCCATGACGCAGGTGACACTGCTGGATACTACAGTCCAGGGGCCAGTGGGATGTGGCCAACCAACTGAAGGAGGAAGTCGGAGGTGGGTGGTGGCAGAAGGGAGGGGACAATAGAAGAGGAGGGACAGAAAGAATCAGGCCCAGACATCCCAGGGGCAATGCTATAGCCCCACTGGCTGGACATGAAGGGTAAAGGGTGCATATATCACCTCGGCCTCCATCCCCAGTCGGGATCAGTGACCGGCTATGATCGAAGCCTACGCTGCCTCTTCTTGGCTGGTCAACCTTGAGCAAGTCACTCAGTCTCTCTGGGCCTCAGTTTCCTCATCTATAAAATGGGGAGTAAAATGGTACCTACTTCATCGGGAGTTGTGGGATCAGTGTTTCTAGAATAGGGACTGACACTTGTCAGCTTTTTATAAGCACCGGCTGTAATTATTCGATCATCAGAACCTTGTGCTGTTCCCAGTGTTCAAAGAGAGCAGAATACGGGCACTAACTCACTTAACCCCCACAATACCCTACTGACAGAGATGCTCTCATTACCCCCATGTTACAGAAAAGTAAAGGTACTTGCCCAAGGTCACATAGCAATAAAGGTGGAAACGGAATCCAGAAACCAGACAGATATTTGACCCTTAGAAAGAAAACAAAAAGAGCCCAGATTAAAGAGAAGGAGAAAAGGATGGTAAGACAGAGAAGGAGGGAGAGGAACTAACAGTGACACAGAGGCACACATCACAGACACAAGACTGGGGGTTGGGGGGAGGCAGGTGGGAGACAAGGTGGTGACCACTGGGCTGGGCTGGGCTGGGCTGTCCCAAATGAGGAAGGACCAGGGAGGCCACTCAGGAAGAGACAGGGACTTCTAGCCCTCAGCAGGAGGGCTGGGGCTGGGGGAAGGAGGAACCTGAGGTTAGGCACTGGGGGATGGGCCAGCTACAGGAAGCCCCACTCCCAAGTTCAGCGTCACACTCCACAGCTCTCTGGGCCTGGGCTAAGGAGAGAAAAGGGGAAACTGGATGCTGGTCATGGGACAGACTGAGTGACCTGTTGCTGGGGCAGGGAGTGGAGTGAGTGTGGGGATGTGGGGGTTGATTCTGAGTCTGGAGAAGAGAGTAGGGGCCCAGCCCCAGGCGACACTGGCTGCTGACAAGGAGAAAATTCTGAGACATCCTAAATTAAAATACAGCAAGCCTATGGGTGGAAGGGAGAGACAAGAGAGGTTAATCAGCAAAGGCAACAAAAGACTGCTTACATTCCTGGACACATGTTGAATGAACTTCCAGCAGGCTCGGCTTCTTGTTTACACATGAACTTTTCGAACTGTTGTCCACAACCAGTCCAAAGGAACAGATATTTCTTCCTGAAGGACACTGCTCCTCTCCCAGAACTAGCCCTGCCTCAACATCTACCACCCTCTTTCTCTGTAACGAATGTAAATTCTCTAACAACAACTTACAATTTTCTCCAATCTCATCATATAAAAGAGCCCCATCGCCCTGGCCAGTTTGGCTCAGTGGTTGGAGCGTCGGCCTGCAGACCAGAGAGTCCCAGGTTCGGTTCCCGCTAAGGGCACGTACCTCGGTTGCAGTTTGTCCCCATCCCTGGTTGAGGTCGTGTGGGTGGTGACCAGTCAATGTGTCTCTCTCACGTCGGTGTTTCTCCCCCCGCCACTCTATCTGAAGATAAATGCAAAAATGTCCTCCGGTGAGGATAAAAAAAATGAGCCCCATCAACCCCGGGATGGCCGGCCTGCTGTCTTCTCCACCTTGCCCTGCTGCTGGTGGTTGAGACCGCACGCCCCATTACCTGCTCCTTTTCTGGCTAGCATTTGGCTCAGTAAACCCTTCTTCCAGAAAAGCTTTCAGCCGTGAAAGTATTTTGTTCAGCACTGCTAATGGCTGCCATGGCCCAGGCCTGGCTGAGACCTATTGCTAAAGAACCAACACCCCCACCACCATCACCACCAGCGGGTCTGGAGTGAGCATGGAGAGAACAGGCCCTGCTGGTACCCCAGACCTCTCCAGGTGGCTGGAGCAGAGTCAGCCAGGGACAGTCGGAGACCAGAGGAGGCTCTGAGCCAGGAGGACCCCGACGTGACTCAGTGTTTATTGGCTCCCTCTGGCTTGGTGTGGGGAGCAGACTTTAGGGTGCAGGGAGGGGAGCAGGGGGCCAGGCTACTGCAAGGCTCTGGTTTATTGGGAGGATTTGTGAGGTTTATCAGAATAATGCCTGCCTGGCATACTCTATATGTTCAATGAATGTTAACTATTATCATTGTTGTTATAGTACTTCAAGTCTTCAGTTCTGGGCTCAGCTTGGTTGAAATCCTTCCTCAATCCCTCAGCCTCAGCCTCAGCCTCCTGGTCTGATACTCCCAGCTCCAGCCAGGTCTGGCTATCCCCAGAGTTCAATCTATCAGTTGCCTCCCACTCACACCTCAGTTGGAGATTGAACCCACAACCTGTTTATGTGCCCTGGTCAGGAATTGAACCTGTGATCGTTTGGTGCGTGGGTCGATGTTCCAACCATCTGAGCCACACTGGCCAGGGCTTTTTTTTAATCCTCACCCAAGGATATTTTTCCAACTATCTTCGGATAGAGTGGGAGGGAGGGAGAGAGAGAGAGAGAGAGAAAAACATCCATGTGAGAAAGACACATTGATTGACTGCCTCCCACACGACCCCAGCCAGGGCCGGGGATGAACCACAACTGAGGTCTGTGCCCTTGGCTGGAATCGAACCCACAACTCTTTGGTCCATGAGCTGACGCTATGACCGCTGAGTCAAATCAGCCAGGGCCAGAGTTCAATCTAATAGCCGGCACACCCAACTACCATTCCATTAGAACAGGCCTGAGCCCCCACCTTTAGTTGCTGAGATGTGGGGAAGTCCAAGGTGTCCCAAGGGAACAGACTGAGGAGGTGACAGATATCTGTAGGAGGTGGGGTAGAGGCTTTTTGCCAACCAAAAGAGAAGTATCTCAATATATTAGCAACCAGTTTAGATGTCATGGTCCAGACCACAGAATGCCAGCCTGGGCTGATCTCTGCTCCATGATCTCCACTCCACTGGGTAAAGAAAGAGGTTAAGATGGAGGGGCACTCAGCTGCCTGGGTGTCACCCCCGTGCCCCCCATCACTACCAGCCTCCAGGAAGCAGGGCTATCCTTCCTCTCTCCATGAAACCAGGCAAGTGTCTCAGTCTCTCCTGGCAGCAGCCCAAGCATTGGAGAAGGCCAAAGCTGACTCCCGGAAGACAGGCAACGTGCTGAGCATGTGACAAGCTGCCTCTGTAGAAGTGCCAGCCCTCCTTACGCTCCCTGCTTTCATTTTTGCCTCCTATTTCTGTCCATAGTAACCAGAAGAACCTTTCTGAAAAATCATAGAACCCAATTTATTTTTTTACATTAATCTTCAGATAGAGCAGGAGGGAGAGAGGGAGGAAGAAAGAGAGAGAAACATTGATGTGAGAGAGACACATCGACTGGTTGTCACCCGCACGACCCCAATAGGGGCCAGGGACGAACCGCAACCATGGTACGTGCCCTTAGTGGGACTCTAACCCGGGACTCTTTGGTCCTCGGGCGATGCTCTAACCACTGAGCCAAACTGGCCAGGGCTAGAACCCAATTTTTTAAATGACTTTTGTCAGCACCCATCACAAAAGAAGTACATATAGCCGATAAGCATGTGAAAAAGTGCTCAAAACCATTAGTCACTAAGGAAATAGAAATGAAAGCCACAATGAAATGCCACTAAACACCCACTAGAATGACTCAAGTTAAAGACTGACCCTATCTATCAGCAGAGGTGAGGAGCAACTGGAAATCTCATACACTGGTGGTGGAAATGTAAACTACAACCACCAATTTGGAAAGAAGTTTGGTAGTTTCTTATAAAGATAAAAGATTAAACTACGTAGAAATTAAGCAATTCCACAGAAGCAGGTATTTACCCAAGAGAAATAAAAACAAATGTTCACATAAAGATCGGCCCATCTCTCTATCCTCCTTCCGACCTCGCCCCCTCACTTACGCAACTCTTGCTACCCTGGTCTCCTTGCTGTTTCTTGAATAAGTCAAGCTCATCCTCACCTCAGGGTCTTTGTACCTGCTGTTCCCCCTGCCTATGATGCTTTTCCCAAAGTCTCTGTAGAACCAGCCCCTTTTCACTCTCCAGGTTTCAGCTCAAATGTCACACCCTCACAGAGTGTGATCACCAATGCTCCAGTCACTCCAACCACAGATTTTATTTTTTTCCTGTATTTGTCATACCTGAAATTCTCTGATTTATGTGTTCCCATTTCTACCATCCGCTACTTTCTCTTGAATACCAAATCTATGAGAACAGGGACCTTTCTATCTTACTCACTACTGTGTCCCCAGTACACATGGTAAGATGCTCAATAAACATTCTTTGGCTGTAGGACTGAATGGCCACCAGCGATAACAGGAGAGATTAAACAAGGCTCTTCATCTCTGCAGGTGGCAGATATGTCCACAGTTATTCTTGAATTAATCACTTGGCAGATAAGAATGCTAGTGACCCTAATATTCTCCTGCTCCTTCTATGGAATTTCTTTTTTATCCTCACCCAAGGATATTTTTCCATTTATCATCAGGTAGAGTGGGAGGAAAGGAAAGAGAGGGAGAGAGAGAAACATCGATGTGAGAGAGACCCACCAACTGGTTGCCTCCCGCACAACCCGGGCTGGGGATGAACCGCAACCAAGATATGTGCCCTTGACTGAAATCGAACCTGGAATTCAATGGGCCAACGCTCTAACTGCTGAGCCAAACCAGCCAGGGCCTTCTATGGAATTTTTAATAGAGCATCTGGCCACCAGACTAGAGACTGTATTTCCTACAAACTCATAGATACAGAGAACATATTGCATGTGACAGAGGAAGAGGGGCTGGGGAGCTGGGTGAAAAAGGTGAAGGGATTAAGAAGTACACATCAGTAGTTATAGAATAGTCACGGAAATATCCATTACAGCGTAGGGAATATAGTCAATAATTTAGTGATTATGTATGGTGTCAGATGGATACTGGGA